AAATTTACTAGCCAATGGCGATTATATTGCCAAGGTGTGCGTAGAGGGTTGCTTTGAAATAGGAGTCGCATTGTATTAAACAGCAAAATATAAAATCAAGTGGCATTTCAATATATATGATAAACTATGAAGTTATACACTGTCTAGTGTCAGTAGTCTAATTTTGTTACTGAAGGAAATTCATGAAATATGTCTTGGGAGCAAATTGTATAACAACACATGAATTAAAGTTGAATTTGTTTCCTGTGTTATCTCTTTTCATTCTTTTCTACGTTTTTCCATATTCTACGTTTGTAACTACCAATTTTGTGAATCGTTGTGTAATGTGATGTTATGCAGGCTAATTTTGTGTGTAGTTGTTTAACGTCTGTAAATATCAATAGTCAAGTCAAGTCACCTTTATTTATATAGCGCTTTTAACAATACAGATTGTGTCAAAGCAACTGAACAGCATTCATTAGGAAAATAGTGTGTCAATATGCAAAATGACAAACACTAATTTTTCAGTTAAAGGCAGTTCATCATTGAATTCAGTGATGTCATCATCCAGCTCAGTTCAGTTTAAATAGTATCTTTGCACGGGGCCAAGATGGCGCTGTTCCGAGCAGACATGCTGCGCTCTTAATCCTCAGACATCATCGAGATTTGCATGCAATAAGGACTAATATTAACTTTGTCTGAAAACTCGGTCATATGGGCAAACGCAAAGCGAAACATCACTCCGAGGCGAGCATGGAGAAAAGTGAAAATATCTTGCCATCCCAACTATTCGCCCCGTATCCTGATGATGCAATGCTGCTGACAGATTTAACCAGTGACTCAGCTGACACTGTCGATCCAGCGAAATCTCTGGCATCTCCACTACCGTGCACCCCAGCTAAAAGCCCAGCGCCAAAAAGAGGAAAGACTAATGTTACATCTCCTGATTGTGACATCAACAAGGTTATGGCTGCCATTCAGTCTCTTTCCGCAAAATGTGAAATAATTTTTGAAAAGGTTACATCTATGGAGACAACGTTGAGAAACACTGATCAGGCCATTGCCTTTCTGAATGAATCAGTGGAAAAACTACTTAAAGATACCACCAACCATAGCGAGAGAATTTCAGCGCTGGAAAAGAAGACGTTAGACTTGAGAGAAGAAAACAAACAACTCAAACTTCAGCTGCTGGAGGCGAATAGCTATCGACGAAGATGGGGCCTGAGACTGCAAGGGATGAAGGAGGAAGATCAACAAGAAAACACTCGGGATCTGGTGATCAAAGTCCTTGGCTTTTGGTACTTTATCCCATACAATATCTATAAAAATGTGGGAGGTCTTACATTTTTGTTAACTTGTAACTTTTCCCCTTCTAAACTCCCCATTAAACTTTCTAAATTCCATGAACAGGCACTTTTGGCAAGGAAACTTTGTTTTGTTCACAATTTCTCCCCGCATAAAGTGAAACTATGGAACAACGAAAGTATTTTAGTAAAGAACAAGTCGATTTTTCTTAAGAATTGGCATGAAAAAGGTATTAATTATCTTTGTGATATACTAGATCCTCAAGGGAATGTTTACTCTTACTGTGATTTCATGTTTAAATACAATTTCCCTGTGGTTCATAAGGAATTTCTTACAATTGTTAAAGCTATACCTAATGGTCTTGTTCACTTAATGAAATGTCATCTATCATTTGAAGAGATTGTAAAAAGGGAACCAAATTTTTTGGTTGATGACAAGTGCATTTATGACCCAAAATGTAATAATAAAATTATAAGAAATGTGTTTCAGTCAAGGAAAAGAATAACTCCGAGGGGAATTTTTTTTTGGAATTCTTTAATAGATAAGATTAATTGGAAAAAAGCATGGCTCTTACCTTATAAATTCTGTGTCCCCAACAAAGTAAAAGAATTACATTTAAAGATTTTGCATAATATATACCCCACTAATGAGATTACATCCAAATTTGGTAATCCTCATTTGAATTGTAATTTCTGTAATGTCAGCATTGAGTCTATTGATCATCTTTTTTTCAAATGCCCCCATGTTAAGGAATTTTGGTCCGAAACCCAATGTAGACATTAATTTAACTATGTGTGATATATTTTGTTATTTTTCTCATTGTAAACACAACGTAGAATATATAGGAAATGTATTTATTTTATTGGGAAAATATTATATTCATAAATGTAAATTTTCTTCAACATCTCCAAAATTACATAATTTTCTTTGTGACTTTATAACTACTTAATTATAACACTAAAAAATATTAATACCAAAAAAAGTGTCAAATTTGTGAAACTGTATAATGATCTGCTGAATGGTACATAATTTTGATTTACTACCTCTGTATTTTTTGTTTTATCTATGTATTCTTTTTTTTTTTTCTCTCTTATTTATTTTTTCTTCTTCTTTGTCTTCCTATATAATTTTTATATTCATAATGTCATCCAATGTTACATTAATTGTTAAATGTTGTTTATACTTGCAATAAAAAAAAAAAGTATCTTTGCAATCATTTGCAATCAAGTCAACGATATCGCTGGAAATGAAGTGTCCCCAACTAAGCAAGCCAGAGCCAAAACTCCATCGGTGACAGAATGGAGAAACAACCTTGGGAGAAATACAGCATGGCAGTATTTTATCTGTTGTAAGCAATTCTTAAAACGGTAAACACATTTGACTGAATAACACATGAGGAGACTGGGAACATCTCACGTATCAATGTAATCTGAATTTAATCATGAAATTGCCTCATGAAATTGATATAGCCTCTATTTTAGTCCCATGAACCTGCAAAGCACAATCAATATTTCAATCAGACCGAACCGTGTCCACACAGCGTTACTTTGAACAAACTCTGTTATTCATCAGTGTGAGGTGTTAGTAGAACAGTAAACACTCTTACCTTATTTTTACTCCCGTCGCCGCCCATCACATTTTATCAACAAGAAATGAACGACACGCGATTTTCTTTAAAAACAAATCTACTCTCCCACAAAAGTGAATCCCACGTTACTTACACCAGCTTTGCACACAAAATAACGCTGTTTCAGCAAGCACATCAGTGTGCAAACCTTTGATACACATGCAAGAGCGCGAGACTCCGCCCCGACTACTTATTAATATTTACACATAAACAAAGATCACGTCACAGCAATGCACTGCATGCTTCAGAAACGTCATAATTGATTGATTATGTAACTCTCAAACTCACAGACGTGACCTTCTTTTGTCTAGTAAGAGGCTTCTGTGGACCATTGGAAAATCAATGTATTTGTAATAATGCACTGAAGGATAAAATACACCACTATCTCCAATTTTGTTAGCTACATGTGACTATATTTTATTTACTCGCGTTTTATGCACATCTTTATAATTAAGCCTAATAAATTCTTTGCATGTGACTATATTATTTTATACTAGTATATCATGCACCTCTCAAGTCTAAAGTTTTCCATAACCTTTTATTTAAAACTTATATAACTTTAAATTTCTTTAAAATGATCTAATTAAATTTTTTTCTGACATCCTTATGAGTGATTATTGATGATTTACATAAAGTTTGAAAATAAATTAATTTTGAGGGCTCTTTGGGGCCTGCTTTTATTTTTTTTGACAAATATTAATGTACATGCTTGGTGACATTTAATACCTCCCATTATTTTTACAAAGAACAATACTAGGCCCATTGCCTGATACAGTGGGGGGAAAAAATCTAAATAGTGCTCATTTTTAAACATTCAAGCTGAAATGACATCTTTCACTTTTGAAGCTGACAAGCAAAAATCAGCAGCATCTCAGACATTATAGAAATGATACAGAAGATAACCACAGATACAAAAATATCAGAAAATACTTTGTGTAAAAAGTTCCATAGTGTTAAAATCACAAAGCATTAATCAGACAGGCTGCAAAAATGGCATAAAACAAGATGCTTCCCATGATGTCCAACTGTTCCACAGGCAGAAGATCCTCAGTCCCATTCGCTTTTGTATTGCACTATGTAGTTAGTACAGTGAAACAGTGGTCAGCTAACTAATATCATGTACAATTTAACATTGAGCTCAAATGGGGACAAATTCTTGATTTTTTTTCCCCCCCCCCCAAGCGATTTTTCACTAATTGTGGGATAATATGGGTTTCCAGTATATGTGAATTTCAGATTCTTCTAGCTTTTCCATTCTGGCCTACTAGAATCTCCTGATCCAGCAGGAGAGGTGTCACAATGCTCCTATACAAAGTATAGATGAACCGTTGAATTGTAGGACACTGTCTTGAGCTACGAGGATCTTACTTGAAAGGATAGTTCACCCAAAAATGAAAATTCTGTCATTAATTACTCACCCTCATGTTGTTCCAAACCCGTAAGACCTTCGTTCATCTTCGGAAACACAAATTAAGATATTTTTGATGAAATCCGAGAGCTCTCTGACCCTGCATAGACAACAAGAGAGCTACCATGATCAAGGTCCAGAAACGTAGCAATGACATCGTTAAAATAATCCACGTGACATCAGTGCTTTAACCGTAATTTTACGAAGCTACGAGAACACTTTTTGTGCGCAGAAAACAAAAATAATGACTTTATTCAACAATTCGTCTCCTCCGCGTCACCCTGGCGCCATTTTGGAGAGTAACACATACGTAAACAACGTATGCAGCACCACGCAGAAACATTGTTTTCATTCAGATCAAAGCGTAAACAACGTATTCGCGTGACACAGCTGACAGAACAGCATACGTTGTTTACGTTCAGTGGATACTCTCCGAAATGGGACGCGGAGGAGACGAATTGTTGAATAAAGTCATTATTTTTTTCTTTGCGCACAAAAAGTATTCTCGTTGCTTCGTAAAATTACAGTTGAACCGGTTGTTTATTTTAACAATGTCCTTGCTATGTTTCTGGACCTTGATCGTGGTAGATCCCTTGCTGTCTTTGCAGGCACAGAAAGCTCTCGGATTTTATATCTTAATTTGTGTTCCGAAGATGAACAAAGGTCTTACGGGTTTGGAACGACATGAGGGTGAGTAATTAATGACAGAATTTTCATTTTTTGGTGAACTATCCCTTTAATAAAGATGATTTAATGCTGTATGTAGTTAATTTAAATATACTGAAATGATTTATGGCACAACAGGAGCACATAAAAACAATGTCAGGTGTACAACACTCATATTAGACAGTAGAATGACAATCCCTTCTTCCATAGCAGGACCAGCGCCTGCAGTCATGGCTTGACCATGGTGCTGGTTCCTGTGTCCACACCCAGCGCGGACGTTTAAAAGCACCACTGGTGAAGAGGAGAGAGACCTCGGACTGGGTTTGGTTATCATCATCCGTCCCTTCTCCTGCGGACTGGGACACGGTAAAGTACAGCAGCACTTCTTCAAGACCAGCATCTCTGTGAAGGAGCTTCACTTGCGGCGACTGAAGATGCTCTTTTTGCTGGAGCTCTTGTCGGCGGTGCTGAAGCCGATCAGAAGTCTTGCTTTTTCGTCTTCCACCTGCTGCTGGAGGCTGCTGTCCGTTTTCCCATCCGTCGCTTTACTTCGAGACTCTGAGCCTGAGGCAGGTTTCAACCGCAGCTTCTCCTTTATCATCTATTTATTTGGGACAAAAGTTTAACGAAATTTGAACAGAGGCCTACTACTACATTCTTACATGTAGTTTAAAGTTGAGTTTGGGACTGAGGGGTTTGCGAGTGATTACCTGTGCGACCAGAGCCTTACGACTGTCTCTCTTCACAGCCATAGCGAAGTCCAGCCAGGTCCAGGTGTTGTTATGATACTCCAGACAGGGCAGAACCAGGTTCAGATCCTTCCAGTCTACACTGCTCTTCTCTCCCTACACCACAAGAGAAATGCATAGTCACACCAGGGCATGCAATGAATCGAATATTAACAACATATATTTGCAAAGACTTCGTTGAAAAACTTGGAGGTAAAACTTATAAGCATTACAATGATTTTAATGTGCTTCTTACTTTTAGGCTTTCTAAAGGCAGTGTCATTTTATGATCACTCCTCATCGTGTAACTCAGATCTCTGAAATGGTGTTTGATTTGCGAATGCATTTTCTTTAAAGCATGATGAATAGATGAATAAAAATTACATTTGTTTATTTACTGAACAATAAAATAGTAAAAAAAACGACTTTTACTGCATTTAAAAATAACTTATCAAAACATTTTTCTATTTTCTATTCTGTGTCGATTAATCGCAAAATAAATTTGTCTGTTAAAATACTCACAAAAGATTATTTAAAGCTATTTTTGTGTCAAATGAGAAAGTATCAAGTAGACATTACAAATTGTAGCTTTAGAAAGAAATAGCCAATGAAGGGATGCTAATACTGGTGTTACTGAACAATAAAATAGTAAAAAAAACGACTTTTACTGCATTTAAAAATAACTTATCAAAACATTTTTGTATTTTCTATTCTGTGTCGATTAATTAATCGCAAAATAAATTTGCCTGTTAAAATACTCACAAAAGATTATTTAAAGCTATTTTTGTGTCAAATGAGAAAGTATCAAGTAGACATTACAAATTGTAGCTTTAGAAAGAAATAGCCAATGAAGGGATGCTAATACTGGTGTTATACTTACAATTATATTAATTATATTATAATTATAATATATAATATAAATTTATGTGTGCATTAAATTAGTCAAGTAAATGCATTTATGATGTTACAAAAGGTTGCCATTTCACATAAATGCTGTTCTTTTAAACTTTCTATTCATCAATTTATTTATTCATTTTTAACGCCATGCCAGCATCAAGGCTATTTTCATGGCGATCTCTGAATAAATTATACAAGGTATACAATTTCTATTCATCAAAGAATAACGAAAAAATGAAAGAAATCACAGTTTTGACAAAAATATTATGCAGCACTACGGTTTTCAAACTTTAAGACATGTTTATAGAGCAGCAAATCAGCATATTAGAATGATTTCTGACAGATCATGTGACATGCGACTGGAGTACTAACTGCTGAAAATTCAGCTTTGCTATAACAAGAATAAATTATATTTTAAATTATATTCAAACAGTATTTTAAACTGTAATATTTCACATTATTGCTGTTCTACTGTGCCTTTGTAATTTAATTTGATAAATAAATACTGCCATTGTGAGCATAAGATGTGTCTTTTAGACTTTGAGCCTTTGCCAGGACCAACCTTGTAACTGACGCAGAGGGGAACCTGAGGAATCTTGATGTAGATGAAAGAATTATTCATGGCTGCTCTTTCTTTCATCTTATCAATGTCATCAACGGGATGCTGAATGGAGAAGACATTTAGAGGTCAAAAAACTTTTATGTTATAATAATAAAACTCAATTAATGACTTGCATCAACAATCTTACAATCATTCCAGAATGCAAATAATGATATGTAATTAATAAACTAAAAAAAACAAGAGGCAATACATATAATAAGTAGCCTAGACATTTTAATTGTAATAATAGAATACCTCCGGTGGTTTGCGAAATGACCTCCTGACACCAGCGGTTCGATTTAACCCTTGCGCCACCCCTTTCCCGGGTCCAAGCCCTCCTATGGAGTCTTCAGAGAGCTGCCTGGGTTTCACGACACCTGTGATTTAAGAAGAAAACAAGCCTTAGACACTCCACAACGCACATGAAAGTCACCCTGAAGCCATACCAGACACAAAACCCTCCAATGTCAAAGGAGCGATGAGCTTTTAATAGCTCAGGATGGGCCATCAATGTGACCTAACATCAGCAGACAGCAATCTAATACCCTCACTAGAGCACAAAGGGAAAAAAAAGAAATGGAGAAAAAAAAAATCAATGTAAACTGATATTGATCAGCATGGGCTGCACTATGGATTAGTGTTGTCACGGTACCAAAATTTCAGTATTCGGTACCGATACCAGTGAAAATCCACGGTTCTCGGTACCAATTTCGGTACCAAAGCAAAACACAAAAACATGCTAATTGAACAACATTTTTATTAATAACATTAAACAAAAATTAAATGTACAAAACCAATGCCATTCTTTATACTTATTTAAAAGTGTTTCAAGTTTTCCCACAAGTAATAAAAGTAAGAAAAAAGTAAACAAGTTTCGCCCAAAAGTTTAGTCATAGTTCTGCTGCCACTGAAAAACATTCACAACAAAACCCGCCCAATCGCTTTCGAGGGTGTCCCCTGTTAAAAATCGCGTTCCGAGGATAAAATACACGTTTTGGCGGGGTTCCCCTGGTAAAATTCGCATTCCAGGGGCTAAATATCACGTTAGTGGGGTCGTTTTTCAACCCGCGGACATGAAAAACAACCCGCTGCAACAGTGTTAAAGCAGCCCAATTCCGTGGGAAAACCGCGCACTTGGCAACACTGGAAGAGGATAGCTTTCGGATAACGCATCAAGAACCGGGTTGACCGGGTACTCGGTACCACCGGTACTTTAAAAAACCTGGTACCGTAACGTTTTAATTTTTTTAGTACCGACTTGGTACCGAAATACCGGGTCTTTTGACAACACTACTATGGATGTCAGTACAGCGAGTTCAAAGAGTGAAGTAAAGACCAATTCTGGCTTTCTAGAGGATCAGCATTGTTTTCACTTTTTGTACTTGATGCATTCTAATTCTAATTTTGAATTATTTGCATTTGATGTGATTTTGAACAAAGTTGAATATCCCAGTTGTGGTGGGAAGGTCATGCTCATGACAAGAAAGAAAACTCCACAAACCTGTAGTAACCAATCTAAACTTGTCTTCTTCATCCCCAACTTCCTCTTCTTCCACATTTCTTCCAGGGAAGAAAAATCCCATCATCCTCTTGAAGAACTGGTACATGAGCTGAATGGTGAGTGGTACCACATTTACCTACAAATAAAAACAGAAAGAAGAGGACAGCTGTATGTGTGAATAGGATCCTCCAGTGTTATGATATAAACAAGAATGGATTTCATGATAGTGACCTCAAAGTGCTCTTTGACGGAAATCCCTCCCACCGGGGGGCGGACCTTACTGAAGATACGGAGGGCGAGCTGGCGTCCTGATTGGCAGGGGCTCTGAGGGCGCAAAACCACCTACAACACAGAACATGAGCAAAGTTTCACCCAACTGACTGAAGTACTTGTTTGTTGTGTTTGTTCAGATGCAAACCATGAAACAAAGGAAAACATGGACATGGCTGCATATCCTACTGGTCAAAGCCAACCGAAAAGGATTGGACAGATGTAAAAAAAAAAAAAAAAAAGACAAAAGACGTAAAAGTGGAAGGCAATGCAACTAGCCTGCGATATCAAACTATAAGTGAGAATGCGGGTGAGTTTTGTCCAAACAGCAACATAAACTTTCTGAGCAGGCATATGTCTGGATGAGGACGAAGGTGTCGACTAACAAACATAGGATTTTACCCACTCCATACATACCCTTACATGCTGCACAAGAGAAACCAAGAGTTACAGGATTAACAAATAGTAGAGATGTGCAAAATGCTAAAATGTTCAAAATTAACTAGCTGTGGGTTGTCTGAATGACTAGTTGGAAGTCCTGTATAATTAGGCTGGTTTAGGGTCATGTTCACAAGACAATGGTCTAACGTTATTGTGAAATTTATTGTGAAAGCAGTGAATTTGCTAGCAAGGCAGTATTATGACGGCTGATAATAATCCATAATAATACTGATTATATCTGTAATTATGATGAAAATGTTTCAAATTAATATAACCATAATCTCAATATCATTTACATGTACATTTACCTTGGATGTAAATATTGGAGTTAAAATGCTCAAAAATAAACCAACTAGATGACCACCCTAACTCAGGGGTTTTCAACCTTTTAGGACATGCGCCCCCCCAAGTTTGTCTAATTTCACTCAGTCTCGTGAGTACCGCATAATCTCACAGTGCGTGAGTACCGCATTGAGATGTCTTGGGCTTAAATGGCTTAAAATTACTTTAATGTTTAAACTGATAAGACTTAAAACACGTGAAAATGAAAAACTTTCTCGAGGAAGCAGCACTGGCCTGATCGTTAAGATAGTTTTGGGGGGGCTAAGGTGACAGATAGGGGGGCTGAAACCCACCTAAAAAGGGTTTAGAACCGCCCCTGGTATAGCGTGCGTAATTATACTGAAACATAAATATATAACCAGTTTACCTGATTCAATGTGATGGCTGAGCCTGTTTCTGAGATAACAACATGCCAATCCGTGGTTGGATTTCCGACACGGCTAATCGTAAATCATCTTACACTGTCAATAAGCGTGACCAGGGTTGCCAGGTTTTCACAACAAAACCCGCCTAATTGCTACTCAAAACTAGCCCAAAACTACAAAATGCGGCAAGTGTTAAAGTAGCCCAATTCCGCGGGAAAACCGCGGACTTGGCAACACTGAGCGTGACTGATACTCGAGCCAACTCTGCTCTAACTGTCCACTAGCAGTAGGAGTCAGATTGCCCCCTAGTGGATGGCTAAAGATTTGTTAACTCGTATTCATAAATTCTCAAGGGAACGTCTCTGAATTAACTGATGCTCGGGCCCCCCTTGACAGCTGCCCCACAGGTTGAAAACCCCTGCCCTAACTAATCAACTAGTTGGTTGTTTGACAACTAGTAAACTAGGCGACCATCAGGGGACAGCATGGTTTACAAGCCTACTAACTGTCACACGAGAATAATGTTCTTGTTACTTTAAATATTACAGGCAAAATGCAAACTAATTGCCTAGTTCACCTCAAACTAACTAACTACTAACTAGTTGGCTGCTGGACAACTAATAAACTAGATGATCATCAGGGGACAGGACGGTCGAGTCTACTGGTTGTCAAACTAGAATATTGTCAACATTTCACTCTAAATTTCACAGCTAAAATGTTAACTACTCGGTTTGTTGACACCTGATTAATTGACTAGTTGGTTGTTGGATACATTAGTGACAGTAATTAAGTGACAGGATGGGTCATCAAGGGACAGGATGGTTAACTGGTTGTCAAACCAGAATATAGTTAACATGTTACCTTAAATATTACAGATAAAATGAGAACTACTCATTAAGTTGACCCCTAATTGATTTACTAGTTGGTTGTTAGACAAATTAGGTGACTGTCAAGGAACAAGACGGTTGACAAGTCTACTAGTTGTCAAACTAGAATGATGTTAACATGTTACGCTAAAAATAACAGTTAAAATACTATTTGTCTGTTTTTGTATATTATGTTTATTGTAGTATGTTCAAGTTCAATAGTCTAGTTTACCTCTAACTAATTGTTTGTTGGACAATTAATAGACCGTCCTGCTCCCTCTCTAACAAACGGAACCCCAAAAAATCTACACACACTAAACCAGCCCCCTATGCAGGCTTCAGTTCAGACTATGTCACAGCCACACAGAGACATTTGCAGAAGTTAGAGATTTTCAATGACACATCTCAACTGTCACATAGTTTAGTTATTTCCCCAACTTGGACATCCAGTGTGAATCATTAAGCAGCAGTACCTTGTATGCAGCATTGGGAAGCAGGTTATTCATGGTGAACCAGCCCAATTCCAGGAGATGTTCTGCTGTGTCATCAGACTTATTCAACTGTGGAAGAGAACATCATAGCATGGTCATATACACAGTAGCTAACGTTTTACCAATGATTAGCAAAGAACATTCAGCATCTTTAACCAAAACCTCTGTCCTTGCAGACTCACCTTGCTGTAAATGAACCTCTGCAGTTCAAGTTCAGCTATACCCAGCTGTCCATCTTCTTCTGTGAGACACCAGCGTGCCTGAGCAAAGTAGAACTCGGTACGTCGCACAACGCTAACGTCTTCTGGGGGTTTACGCAGCTCCAGTTTGTTTGCTCTTTGCAGTTGGAAGTCCTTAAAACATCTGAGAGGAGGCAAAAGACTTTGATATATCCAACTATTTTGAACTAATATTGCCAATGAATGATCAAATGCTAGAATTCTGCTAGTGACCAACCGGATGAGGATGTTGAGCTCCTCACTCTTCATCTGCATGTCCGTCACACGTCCAAGTGGTCTTCTGCTTGAGTGTGTCGTTGTACCAAGCAGGATGGTGCTCACATTGCAGTAGTTGTGCCTTGGCGGCAGATACCAGCACGCAGCCGGCAGTCTCAGTGCCTCGAAGCATCATCTGAACACCATGCACATGGGAAGATGTTTAGATCTGCTAATACAGCATCTTGCACTATGGGTTACTGCTCTCAAAGGGGAATCCGTACCTGACCGTTGACGAGCTCTATGAACCAGTTGCGGTTGTAAACATCATCGGTCTGGCACGCGGCAATTCCACAGAGCTGGTCGCTCACTCCTGCGTCCTCTTCAGAGAAGACCACAAACTTATCGGTCTCCTCGATAAGCTTCTGTAGCATGGACGTTCCTAAAAAGGACCAGAAAAACACATCAACTGGGGCAAAGAAAGCCTTGATACACTGAAGACTGATCATTTCCAAACAGCAAAAATTTGATTAGTCTGGACAAAAAAAACAAAAACAAAAAAACAGGCAAATGAGCTACAATATACATCAGATTTTTAGACCGACAGTCACAAGAAGAGCCTACCTTCATTCTGACTCTTCTCTGGGCGAGTGGTTGTGGTAATGACTGGTGTAGCAGGACCTGTGTTGGAGGAGTAGCTGGACATGGAGCGTTTCAGCTTTTTCGTCTGCACCTGGGTGTCGATCCGCAGACCCTTCAGAGCCTCGGTGGACAGGTTTCTCTTGAGCACGGCTGCTTTCTTATAACCGTCGTACAAACCAAAGGCAATATTCCGGTTGGTGGTGGTCCAAGAAGCCCTCAGGTCCACCAAACACAACTTGTGCGTGTAGGAAGCATTGCTCTCGTCTTTTGAGTTTACTTCCTGAGACAATTAAAGCAGAGATATTGTTGGTTTGTCAATTAGTAAAGGCGTTAATTTTATATTAAATAATAAATAGCAACATTTTATTTCTTGTAGATAAATTAAAAAGGTGAAGAGCTTGAAAAAAGTCTGCACACTCAAACATCAAAGAGTCACAAGCGAGATGATCCTCACTCTTCATCTGCATGTCCGTCTTCTCTTGGTTGAGCTGATTCTGCAGGCGCAGGTTGATGTCCGACAGCTCGTCTCCTCTGAACTCTTCTGACTGGGACTGTAAGAGTCAGATAAAAGGTCATTATGAAGGAACCTCAAAGTAGTCTGGAGGAAATGCCCTCATATGAAAAGCTATGCGGATGGCTGATGATTCAGGTGAACTAAACTAACCGCAGATGTGCACTAACCCTCATATTGGAGTAGATCTGTTTCTCCAGGCAACGGATCTGAGCCAAATGCTGGCGTACCGCTTCCTGAAGGTGCAAGATACTGCTACGCTGCTCCTCAGGGTTGCTGGAGATCTCTAGCTGGAAACGCACACACTGCTTCCTCTCGCTGTGCTCCTAAACAAAGCAAAAGATCTGGCAGATCAGCAAACAACACAAGAACTCATTCCAGAATTGGTGTCCAGACAATTACAGTCAGTTTGAACCTTGCGCCGGGGTTCCACGTGGAGCAGCAGGTTATTGACTATGTCCAAGATCATGGAGTACTGCACTGGATTGGTGGAAATCTCCAGGTCATTGTGGATGAGGGTGAAAGTGTCGACTGCACCTGATATGTTCAGAGAGAAAGCAACAATAATATATTTCTGACAGAACAACTACCAGTCAACAGTCAGTTCCTGTTTTGCTTGAGGTCGCATACCAGCCTGTTTCTTTAAAAGGTCCTCCTTCTCATGGCGGTCACGGATCTCTGGCGGTTTGATGGAGGTGGCCAGTTCAGGGTCGATGTCGTGGCTGTACCCGATGTAGTACATGCGACAGCTACAGCGAGAGATGATACGCTGGACCTGCTGGGTCTCCTGCACTTGGGAAGGCTGGTTCCAATCTAAATCAGAGCAAGAAGAAACAAGTCAAATAAAATAGACTGTGGCTGCTGATTGGACGTGCAAAAGTTGCTGCCACAATGCTATATGGACGAGCGATGGACCACTTGTGGAAAGATGAATGGGAGAAATTGTAACACTCAATGGCCTTGTCCCAAATGAAATCAGAAGCCCTCACGCTCCTCCCAGTCTACACTTTTGTGATGTAAATGTCTGCTGTGGAGCTCATCTTAGTGCGGCCTTGGCAGAAGAGTGCATCAAGGGCACAGAGTTCATCCCCGAACTCAAATCGTAAATATCAAACATGTTTATCAAATATCAAAACACACTCTTGATCTAGCTGCCTCTGCCTCTGATCTCTCTAGTCACATTTGATCTCGCGAGTCTCCGTGAGATCTCAAGTCACTGTGAAATCGTCCCTATAATCGACAAGTGTGTGGTCTCTCGGTCTGGTCGAATCGTCTAGTGTGCGCATTCAGAGGATCATAAGGTTAAAAATCAGTTGAAACTGTCTTCTTGTGTGTGGTCTCCCATGGTTTTAAAATCGGTTAAGATTTGAACAATGCCAAGCTTGTAGATAAATTATCAATTGGTGTCTCTCAAATGCAATTTGAGATGCCTTACCTCCTCTATGCGGTTGCTCTGTCTCTGGTAGCTGAGTGAGGACAGGCTGAGCAGGTGGGTCTTCTTCACCTGGGCATTGATCTGGTGGTCGGCTGTCTCATCCCATGTGGAGGCCATGAGGTGCACGGTGACCAGAGAGAGCTCGCTCACCATCTGAGTAACGTTCCACTCGGAGATCAGTCGTCTCATCACAGTGCCAGCTGTAAAACATGCATCGATCATTTCAGCAGAACATTTCAATAGTATGTCAAGTGGAGAGGGTGACTGAGGATGTTTGCTCTCTCACCCTGTGGGATGAGCCTCTGTGCTCCTCTGGTGAAGACATGACCTTTACTGCACTCGACCTGAATGCCCCTCTGCTGAGCAAATGATGCCCAGTAATGGACCTGCACAGGAACATTTTAACCTTGCATATATTTCATCACAATTACAAAAAAATATTTCCAATATGACAAAAGATCCTTTGAATGATAAGAATACACTATTTTATGAGGGTGAATGATCTATATAGATACACAAGCTTATAAAATATAAATTATATTTTATTATTTAATTATAAAATAATTAAATAAACATACATGAAATAAAAAAATTACGCATAAATACAAAATTATTAAAATGATTATTAATATTAAATATTTATTATTATTATTATTATTATTATTAATAATAAAAGTAATAATAATAATAAACACAACAGTTTGGCTTCAGCTATATATCGTTGAGCATCAGCACGAAGACAAGTTAGAAATTAACAAATTAACTAATTAAATTTTAAAAAGGAGGCAGGCCTAAAATATGGTGTGACAGAATCAGGTGTCACCTGTAGCTGTGGAAAAGATGCAGTATAGGACATCTGTTTGTAGTGCTGGCCGAGCTTCCTGCGGATGGGTCTGAGGCTGTGGAAGAGCTTGCCTCTGCAGATGGGCCGGGACACGCTGGTCCACGTGGCCCAGAAGTTCTGCATCCAACGCAGGGTGCTGCTGTAGAGGAGGATTCTGGGCTGACTGGGCTCTGAGAGAAAACGCAAACAAAAGTCTTTAAAACCAGAGCTGAAATGACCTTCAAGCCTGGAATACACTACATGACTTTTGCCCCGATTTTTATTCTGGACGACGCTAGTTGCTGCTCCGATTTTAAAAGTTGCATAGCCTTTATCAGCATTTAGAAAAAAGGCTATAGTTCTAACCTTTGCCACAGTGCTGGTCGAGGTCCATGGTGATGGAGAGGTTGAGGTTTTCAGAGCGGAAGGCCCTGTAGGAGTCGTGTGGCTGGCCTGAGGTGACATCCGCAACGCTCTCCACAGCACAGAGCATTACGGCATGGTGGTCATGTGGATTACCATGGCATAACCATTGGAGGTCAAGGGTCATACAAAGGCTCGGGAGGTGCAGGAAGCAGATATCATCATACCTGTAGAGAAACAGACCAGACAGATTTAAATAATCAAACTCAATTCAAAATGTCACATTGTAATGCAATGCAACTACTAGTCATGTACTTGGAGGCTGTTCTAACGTTGACGTCCAGGTCACCCTTGAAGACAAACTGCCCAGGATTCCAGTCAAAGTTCAGCTTGATCCACTCCCAGTGCAGGTTCTCCGTGGTGTTGTACGGGTCCTACACAAAAAAAGCATTATAGTTAGCATTAGATATTTAAAAGTATAAGCTGTTTTTAGCAAGGAGCCTGGGTGTGTTTGTTAGTACCTCAGTAGCGAGCTGATGCAGGTTGGCCTGTTCGATGTCCATCACCCAGCGGCCATGCAGAAGTAGTCTGCTTTTATCCCACCAGGTCAGAAGGGGGGATGGGTCAGCTGTGGGTTTGGTCAGTAAATCAACAGCCTGGCCAATCAGCGTCCAAGCAGGATCCCAGCACGGCCCCCACACAATAGTGTAGAGGAAAATATTTGCTATACGAACAATTAGACCGGTTGAGTCACATTGTTGCAATATCACATTACAGACTTACGAGATCAAGAGAGTGTTGTGACTCACAATGGATGTCGTAGTAGAACTTCAGTGGTGGCATATTCCTGTAAACGGTCACGTCACCCCATGGCTGGCCGAGTTGGACCACCTGTTTGCGCTTTGCTCTCAGCTGCCCGTCCTGCTCGGTGCCCATCAGACGTCCCGACAGCGACCATTCTCTGATCTCAAACAAGTAACGAGGATAGTCCCGGATTCGCACTGAACAACACAGGAAACAAGAATGCTAGTCATCATGGACTCTCATAAGTGACAAAAAATAGCACTTTGTACATGTAGCACTCAGCAAACAACACTTAAAATTGATTCTAATAGAGTTTGATATTAGCATGTTGCTATGCTAAAAGCTCAATACTCTAATATAAAAAAAATACAAGGGCACAAACATTGAGTCAATTCTGAATTAAACTGAAGCAATTTTAACAACACCTTTCAGTATTGAATTAATTTGCAATTGGCATTTATTTTGTCGGCCATCTTGGATGCATTTTTTTCCCCACCACGCTAGTGAAATAAAACAAATAGCGAAATAAATTCAAACTACTTAGCAAAAAGAAAAAAGAAAAAGCAATTATTAGATGATTTGGTAACAAAATTACTAAAAATTAACAAAATTATTTTTAGGCTCCAGCTAAATTAGCTATTCTTTCAGCTCCATCTAAATAAGCTATTCTTAGCATTAGCACAATCTGTTAACTTGAAATGATGCCTAGGTAAGGAGTTTACTGTGTTTGGAACAGATGTGTCAGATCACTTACAGTAAAAATTCACTAACTAACAAAGCAAGCATCATTTTTTGGATTATGTATTAAAGCAGGGGTGTGCAATCATGGTCCTTGAAGGCCACTGTCTTGTAGAGTTTAGCCCCAACCTCAAATAAACCACCTAATCATGTTCTTCCGGACTACTAGAAACTTCCAGGTACATTTATATTTATACATTATATTTATCCAAAGCAACTTACATTGCAATTAAGGTATACATTTTATCAGTTTGTGCATTCCATGGGAATCAAACCCATGACCTTGGTGTTGCAAGCCTCTACTGGAACTTCAGGAAAGGTGTGTTGTGGCAAGTTGGAGCCAAACTCTGCAGGACATCGAACATCCCTGTATTTAAGTACACTTGACTTACCCAGAAATGCATTAAGCTTGAATTTAAAAGCACGGCACCACTGTATCACCAGCTGCAGGCAGTCTCTGGGGAAGGGGCTGTTGCCATCGATGTCCCGCAGCTGCTCTCGGATCCGCTCAGGCCCGTGCAACGACTGATCCGCAAGCGCCACCAGCTCCAAATCTGACACCGTCCAGGTGAGCAGGGACTTGCGCATGGGCGTGTTGGAGTACAGCCGCTTGGACCGCTGAATGTAGATCTCGATGTGCTTGCGCTCAAGGGAGGTGTAGAGCTCCTCGATCTTACGGGCCGGCAGGAGCTCGCCGTGCTGCTTGCGTAGGTCGGCCACTTTCTTGTTCAGCAGCTGCAGGCGCTTGGAGCTTTCCTTGCTTTCGTCCTTCATTAGCTCGTAATTGTCGCGTAGTTTGATCTCAAAGACATCGTCCAGGAACACAAAGGAGAACTGGTTGATGCGGACCAGTAGGTCCGGCGGAAGGCGGCAAGGTTCTGTCGATGGGGCGGCACTGCTGTGTAGGGTCTTCAGCCACTTCTGCACGCTGATGGCCTTATCGAAAGTGTCGGAGAAGTTGTACTGGTAAGGGAACTCGATGGCAAGGTTGGGTGCAGTGAAGAGCCAAGTGCGATTGCAAGATGTTTGGAGGAAAGGGAATTGAGATCTGTGCTGTTGCATCACCTCAAGCTCATCCAGCATCTGCACCTCGGCTCCAGAAAAGGAGAAGATGTCGTTGCCATCAAAGCTGAACACCAAATGAGGAGTTTTCATCAGCACGGCTCCGGGCCGTTTGGAGAACGACAGTGCTTCTGCACTGAAGGTGATGAAGTTTGTCTCGGCCACATGGGCGGTGAGCTGTGTGCTTGCCAATTCTACACAAACTAACATGCCAGATGAAGAGGCTGCAGACTCTGTTCCATCCTTCTGTTGTAGCCTTAGAGATTCAGACAGCACCTTCCAATATCTTTGACTCTCTGTGATGTGCTGATACAAAAACATGTGATCCAATGTTGTCCACTGCACTGTTAAAGCGTTTTCACTCCGCACCTGATCAGATGATGATGGGAGGAAATTAAATCAAGATGTGGTTAAAGCTGGCATGAAATGGAAACTATGATCATGTTTTCTTCTCTATTGTAACGTATATTTAAGTAAAACAAATAAGACGAAAAATGTAGGGCGGGAATTGAATTTGTCCATCATGAATTGATTGGAACGTTGATGTTTGCTAATTGCTGTGACCTCATGAGTGACAGGTTGATGGAGGGGAGGGATTATTATCCTTCCCTTGTGCTGGTGCACATGTCATCAGAGAAGAGATATTACAGTGAGGAGGAGGAGTAGGAGGAGAAGTACATTTTTTGATTAAAGATTACGAGGGCAATTGAATTTGAAACAAATACAAGTCATGTTTGCGGAATACACGTCTAAAATGTACTGACTTACAGTTGTGGTCAAAATTTTACATACACTCAAAATCATACAGTCACTGTTGGAAAGGGTTCAAATACGCAAAAGATGCTGGAAAACCAAAGAATTTGCAGGATCTGAAGGATTTTTCTGAAGAACAGCAGGCAGTTTAACTGTTCAGGACAAACAGAAAAAAAAAATGCTGCGGATCACCCAGGAAACGACACACAGTATTAAGAAACTAGTGTATGTAAACTTTTGAACGGGGTCATTTTAAAAATTCAACTATTATTTCCTCTTGTGGAGTATGTGAAATATCTTATTCAGGTCAGTAGTAAATAAAAAATAACATGCATTTTGTATGATCCCTCTTATTTTGGTAAAATAATTAACATTTTGCAGATACTGCAAAGTGTATATAAAATTTTGAACACAACTGTATATTCCAAAGTGACTTTTATAATCCAATTAAAATCAAGTGTGCAAAACGTGCAAAGCACAGACATTTGGATTCATGTCGAATGAGAAAGGTACATGATTAATCTGTATAGCATATTTCCCACGTCAATACTTTTTCTTTTGTTTTGCTTCAGAATTTGTTTAGGCTTGGCCTTTATAATAAATGCCACACTAATTTAGGTTTGTTTTATACTTTTACTTTAAATCCCTGTTACGTTCTAAATACCATTAAATTTAAAGGATTTTTTGTGGATTGTGGGGAACTAAAATACACGTTTATAAAGTTTTGAAAATTTTCGTTTTATTGTTCTATCAAAAATGTTTTTAGAATTTAGAATTTTTATCTGGCATGACTTACAGATAAACACTACAACAACCCTTTAAACATTTTTTTTACATTTTATTTCTTGGTGATTTAAACAGGAATGTGCATTCTGTAACTACATTTTGATTCATTTGGTTGTGCTCAATCTTCCTGCTTTTTTTCCAGCAAGAATGCATCTCGTGTTGAGTACTGTTGCCGTATTGGACTGAAAGTCACGATTATGGTGTTGACAAATTACTGTCCTCTTCTAAGCAACTGGATCACAAGTTATGACCCAATTCCACCATACCAAATTCAAATTAAAAACAAGGCCTCATTGTGACCAGACTGCAGTAAAATATGCAAAGTCCAAAACCCTTTAGATTTCCAGTTTTACATTTTAATCTTAGTTTTGGACCCTGCTAATATTTGTTAATGGAATTCGATATGAAGTGATCAATCATTGCAGTCACTTACAACCACACCTAGTGGTCATGGCCTGTAATAAGTGATCCTAGGTGATGGAAATCATGACAGCTGTGTGTAGGAGCAGTGTAGTACCTCCAGACTGCGGCCGCTGATGTGGTAGGAGACAGTAAATGCTGTTAGGGTCAGGATGGGGTTGGGAGTTTGGGTGGCTGGGCAGCAGGGCTCCATACTCTCATTGAGGGCCTTCACCACAGCCAAAGAAACACCTTGGACAGAAACATTCGAATTCTCCCCCGATCCTTCAGCTTCCACTGTGTCCACCCTCAATGCAACAGCCCCTTTAATGCAACACAGAAAAACAAACTCTCAGGTACTGAAACAAACTAACATGTACTGTGTAACTTTTTGGATACAAGGAAGAAAAACAAGAGTGTAACTGGTATTTTAAGGGCTTCTTTTAGTTCCCACCTGCCACATTGGAGAGTGTGAATGTGTTTACATCCTCAAGATTGAGTTTAAACTTAAAGAGAGGTGGTAGACGGGTTGAAGGCTTTTCTGGAGTGGATTGTGAGGAGACGTTCTCTGCTTTGTCCAGTTTGAGAACGGAGAACAGACGTGACAGACACAGAGTGCAGGTCTCGGACACTTCCAGCTGCAGGCCTTTCAGACTGGACTCCATACAAGCGCTCCCAGAAGGGCTGGAGTTCACCGTCCTCGACGAACTATAGCTGCCCTGTGGGCGAATTAATTAAAAAGGGCGTAATGTAAAGCCAAATGGTTATCATTTAAAAATATAGCCCATCTTTCATAATAAATGATAACTTGCTACATAAATGCATATTGATTTTACCTGCAGTGTGAGAGAGTCTAGGATAAGGGCTTCCCCCCAGACATGTTTTCCAGCTGGGTGAGGAGCCTGCTGGATATGGGAACCCTGGCCCACACGCCACCAGAAATGATCCAGGGACAGAGAGGCTTTCTCAGTCACAGTCAGACTCTTCACGTCATCCTCTTCTGAGCCCAACAAGTGCTGCAGTTCTGTGAGACACACCAGATTCAGTCACACACCACAGCAGAGACACGTTTGAACTGAAGTTTTCAATCAATTCTATTTTACCAGAAGTTGACCAAAAAAGGAAACCGCACTTTATTCATTTTGAAAAGAGAATTTAGTTATTGTGACTCCATTCAGTGTTGATATTATTAACTCTTTCCCCGCCATTGACGAGTTCTCTCTTTTCCAAGAAAACGCTTCCCCACCAAAGACGCGTTTTTACGGCTTTCTGTGTTTTCACTGTTATACACTCGGGGGCGCTATTACGCATCATTACGAACGAGTACAAAACCTCCCGAACAAAAACACACGTGAACAGGACAGAGAAACGAGCGATCTCTAATGTAAACAGATGCATATGAAAAATAATGCGATCATCAGCATATAAATGAAAACTGC